GAGAAGGCTGGGCAGTGTCACTGGGAGACCTCTCCCAAACCCTTGGAAAGGCCAGAGCCAGCCCAGAGCTTCCTGGGGCCTTGGCAAAGGCAGACATGGAACCAGTCTGCAAACAGGGCAGCAAGGAGGGTTGGCAGAGTTCCAGACTGCTCAGGCTCAGCAGGGAAGGGGAGAGGGTAAGTCCTGCTGCAGCCATTGCCAGGCATGGGAAGGACAAGGCAGGGATTGCAGAACCACTGTGGGAGGGAAAAGAAGAGGATGTTGTGTGCCCAGACTTTATCAACGCCCTTGACATGGTCTCCTGTGGTCTCCTTAGAGCCAGACTGGTGAGAGCTGGACTGAAGAAGTGGAAGATGTGGTGGGTGGGAAGTTGCTGAGTGAAGAGTGTCCAATAAAATCCATGGTACAAAGTCCTCCTGGTAGCATGGAAAGTTCACACTAAAGGTGAGGAAAAATAAATGTCACTCAAGGGGGACCCTTGTGGTGCAAGAGGTCACCCAGAGGGAGTCAGGATCAGCCCATGGCTTTGTGTTCCAGGGAACAGGCAGAGCTGGTGCAGAGCCATCAGGGAGGGTCTAGAAATGCTGCTGGGAGGGGGTGGGAAAGCAGGAGGGGCGTGTGCAGCCTGCAAGGCCAGAGCAGCAGCAGGGCCAGGGCAGGACAGCCTGCAGGAGAGATGGCCAAGGGCTCTGGCAGGGCTGCAAGGCCCAAAGGCACCCAGGCCTTTTCCCCTTGCCTCTGGCAGCTGCCTCTGCCACTCAGGCCACCACAAGCCACTTTCCTGGCAGGTTCTGCCCTTGGGTTCTGCCTCGCCCCTCCCTCAGCAGCCTGGCAGGGGTTGCCCAGTTTTGGGCCTTTGTTGTTCCTCCCCTCCCATCCCAGTGCCCCCCAAACAGCCCTGAGCCAGCCGGGAGGGACAGGATCTGCTGGGCCAGGGCCTGGGGCTCAGCCCTTGGCCTTTGTGCTCCACAAAACCAAGGCAGGCTTTGCTCAGCATTGCAGGGGCCTGCCCAGAGCCTTGGTCTGCCTGCACTCCTGGCCTCCAAGGAGCTGCTCCAAGGAGTCCCTGGGGAGGCTTTGGCAGTGCCTGCCCTCAGTGGGGCCCAGCAATGCTTCAAGGCACTTGCAGTTTGGCTTCTGACTTCTTGAGCAGCTGCTTCCATCTTCTCTCAGTACCTCAGGATCATGGGCTGGGCTGCAAACACACTGTGGGGCTCATTAAAATGCAGAAATCCCTCAGGATCTCTTTGTCTTCCTTTAATTGTCTTCAAGGCAATTTCAAAACAAGTCTTCAAAATTTGTACTTTTTTTCTTTTAATTCAAAAATGGATATTTTTTAGTTCAGAGGAGAGGTGATAGAGGTGTTCTCCAAGTGATCTTGATGCTGAGTGTCTCCTCAGGAGATCCACACTGACCCTGGATGATCATCCTTGCTCCTCACTCCCCAACCTCACCAGTTCTGACATGGCCCATCTTGGACTGACAGCTGATGCAGCTCCAAACACACTCTGGGACCCATTAAAACACTGAAAAACAAATTATTTTAAAATACTGAAAAACAAATTATTTCCCTATTCTTTGATTGTCTTCAAGTCTTAATGTCTTCTACAGCTAATTAGAGTTGTTTTGTAGTTTAGCTAAGGAGGAAGATTTTAAAGTGGAAGTCACAAAATATATATATTTTTTTGATGAAAGGGAATTATTTACACAATGCCTTGGGATGCAAGAGGAACAGGGCACTGTTATAAGTAATCAGAGAGTAAAATTTGCAGATCAAATAAAGTTGGGTTAAGGATGTTATAATGTTATATTTAATGCTTTGTCGAGTCACAAGTCTAAAGGTTGTGTAATGGTTAACCGCAAGTTCTGGTCAGCTGCAGACTAACAAAACCATGACACAGTGATGAATGGTCATGTTATCCCTTGCTATTCTAAAAAGTGCTTGTTTAAGTATATTTATAAGGAGCAGAGCGGATAAAACAAAAGGAGAGGGTCGACCACGAGGGTCGAATTAAGAAACCGTTACCTACAGTGGAAAATTCCAGCATCACGGTCCATAGAGACTATGGACAATTGAACTATTGGCTGATACCCCTCAGCAACAGGACAAGCCTGTGAAAAGAGGACCCAAACAGAGACCAGCCCGCGAAAGGGGAACCAAGCAGGACTTAGCCCGCGAAACAAGGACCAATGGAGGGATGACACGATACCAGGGGGAGGTGGTTGCAAAAGGGTATAAAAGATGATGTCTTGCTGTTCCCTTTGCGGACCGTGGCAGGAACAAGGGGTTTCCTCCGGTCGCCTGGCTAGCCGTTTTGCTTATTTGCCTTTAATAAATTCTTTTATATTTTCAAATCCAAATTTCTCTAGTCTATTGTTTATAACAGCACAAAGGATTTGTATCCAAAGAAGAGGGGGCAAAAGACGTTAGTAGCACTTAATCATTGACCAAGTGAACAGTTATCAAGTGATTCAACAGCATTTGCCACAATTTTAACAGTGACTGAATTAGAGATTCACAACAACATTCACCCCACAGTCAATTCACACCCACACCCAGGCAGAGATGTGTGCACACATCAATAGCTGGGGGTGGAAAGGTCCCTCTCCAAAATTCTTCTGCTGTCAGGGAAACACTCCCACCAATCCCTTTGTGTTTGCCACCAGACAAGGGTCCCAGCTGGAGGAGTGTTTGTGGAGGGGGATCAGAATTGTCCTGGGCATCAGCGCCGCTCTTTGGAGTGTTGCAAACTGGAGGGTTCCCGAGATGGGAGAGGCTGCCAGAGGTGTCCCACTGAGAGGGAGGTGCTGGGGAGCTGCCAGGGCCTCCCTCAGCCCCGCTGGGTGTGGGCTCACAAGGGGACTGGCTTTAGTTATCTGCTGAATTGCCATCCTGGGGTCAGGAATGACTGGAGTTTCCAAACTATTTGGGAATTGTATCCAAACAGTTTCAATTGGGTTACAACTCATGGAAGAAATGTTCCAAGGTTTTCAGGGGATGACTGATTATCCTGTGTTCCCCAGCTCTCACACCCATCCCAGTCAGCTGGATGGTTTATTGACAATGTGTCCCGAGGGGCGGCACCTCCGATGCCACAGAAACCCCTCCCCCTGGATTAGGAAACCTTTGGAATTCAGGAGCTGTTCCAGCGGAGCACGAAAATGAACAGCAACTTTCCCAAAGCCCAGACCCCAGCAGAACAAAGGCAGGCCCCATCAGTGTCAGAGCAAAGGTCCCCCATCCCTGTGTCCCTGTGGCCGCTGAGGCGGCAGCGCAGGCCCGAGGCGGTGCCGGGTCCCGGTGCAGCCGGGGCAGAGCGGCGGCTGCGCGAGCGGCAACCCCGGCGGTGAGTGCGGCAGCCCCGTGGGAGCGGCGGCTCCGGGCACAGACGCCGGCGGCAGCCGCTGTGGCTCGTGGAACCGAGTGGCCATTGGGACACTGCAGGGCCTCCTGGAATCCAGGGGCCGGTGGGACACTGGGGAGCCTCTTGGAGCCAAGGGAACCCTGGGATATTCTGGAACATCCTGGAATCAAGGAGCCATTGTGACACTGCGGGGCCTCAAGGAACCAAACGATCCAAGAGAAACTGTGGAATGTCAAGGAATCAAGTGGCCATTGTGACACTCCAGAACCTCATGGAACCAAGGAGCCATTGTGACATTGAGGGGCCTCATGGAACCAGAGGAACCCTGAGAGTTTTTGGAACGTCATGGAATCCAGGGGCCACTTCTGGCAGGATGCTCTGCTCTAAGAATACCTAAAAAATGGTCAGAGAATGCAAACAATTCAGGGTCTCTGTGGCGACTTACTGCTGGTGTCAAGGTGCTGTTTTTAATGTTGAATTATGTTAAAATCAAAATGATTCATGGAACTTCAAACACACATCCTGCTTTTTGAAGCAGGATTTGACAGAGAAGCTGCTCCCTGGCCTGCAAATATGTCTGGTAGTCAAACCCTTGATAAAAGCCTGGCCCAATTTTCCTGTGGCAGATTCTTCCCCAGACTTCCTTGAAGTGTGTGGAGCTTCTGCCATGAAGCAGGGACAGCTCTTCATGGTCACTGCCCAGGGGTTAAGTGAGAGAACTACCCCCTATCCTTGTGGGGTGAGTTACCTCAATCTCTGCTTCAGGATTGTTTCTTTTTGCTGGCTTTGATCCAATTGCTTTAATAGAATGACTTTGATAGACTGCACTGTCCTATCTGACACTATACTACTAGGAGGTTTTGGCTTTTATATGGTGTAGTAAATAATTCTCTTCAAGGTCTTTCATCTGTTCACTTGTCTGATCAATTTTCTGTTCATTTGTCATACTAAATCATTCATTTTATAGAAATATTTCTGATTTGCCATCACTAAAACCTGCAGGACAAAGTGATTGAATCACACCTCCATAATTCCTTCAGTCTAAACCAAACTCTGAGCCTGAGATTGGATCCAGCCACCCCCAGGCTCCTCTCTGAGAAGGAATTTAGAAAGCAAGGGGGTCCTTTCTGCACCTCGTAGCTCAACGAGACGGCTTCTGCCATCAACTTTGTCTGAGCCTTCCACCCCCCAGCCCCAAGCCGTGACACAGGGGCATGTCTTGTCCATGCAGGGCAAACATGGACTCCTGAGCTGGTCATCTGATGTCCCTCCTTGGAGGGAAGAACAAGCCCAATGGCCTGGGGTGAGAGGCCAGTGCTGGGAGCCTCTGGGCAAGGCTTGAAAGGAAAACACTGAATTGAAAATGGTGTTTATATCTATATAAATATATATAGATATTTATACACATATATATATATAAAGATTTTTTAGTGTGAACAAATTCTCACAAAAATAACACTCCTAGCAAGAGCAAAAAATTGAGAAGCTATGGTGGGCCTTTAATGAAGTGTATAACAGGATTGGTCCTTAATGAGGTCCATAACATGCAGAAGAAAGAGAGTTTATTGTTTCTGAAAAACACCCAGTTATCAGTTTCCTCAGGGCATCCTTGAGCTCCTGGTTCCTCAGGCTGTAGATGAGGGGGTTCAGTGCTGGAGGCACCACTGAGTACAGAACTGACAGGGCCAGATCCAGGGATGGGGAGGAGATGGAGGGGGGCTTGAGGTTGGAAAACATGATAGTGCTGAGGAACAGGGAGACCACAGCCAGGTGAGGGAGGCACGTGGAAAAGGCTTTGTGCCTTCCCTGCTCAGACGAGATCCTCAGCACAGCCCTGAAGATCTGCACATAGGAGAAAACAAGGAAAACAAAACAACCAAATGCTACACAGCAAATAACCACAATAAGCCCAATTTCCCTGAGGTAGCCTGAGTGTGAGCAGGAGAGCTTGAGGATGGGGGGGATTTCACAGAAGAACTGGCCCAGGGCATTGCCCTGGCACAGGGGCAGGGAAAATGTATTGGCTGTGTGCAGCAGAGCATTGAGAAAGCCAGTGGCCCAGGCAGCTGCTGCCATGTGGGCACAAGCTCTGTTGCCCAGGAGGGTCCCGTAGTGCAGGGGTTTGCAGATGGCAACGTAGCGGTCGTAGCACATGATGGTGAGGAGGAAATACTCTGCTGACATGAAGAAGAAAAAGAAAAAGAGCTGTGCAGCACATCCCGTGTAGGAGATGGTTGTGGTGTTCTGGAGGGAATTGTGCATGGCTTTGGGGACAGTGGTGCAGATGCAGCCCAGGTCTGTGAGGGAGAGGTGGAGCAGGAAGAAGCCCATGGGGGTGTGCAGGTGGTGGTCGCAGGCTACGGCGCTGAGGATGAGGCCGTTGGCCAGGAGGGCAGCCAGGGAGATGGCCAGGAAGAGCCAGAAGTGCAGGAGCTGCAGCTCCCGCCTGTCTGCCAATGCCAGGAGGAGGAACTGGGCCATGGAGCTGCTGCTGGACATTTGTTGTTTCTTAGCACAGGGTCTGTTCAGGAAAGGAAAGGACAGGGAACAGTTAAGACAGACCTCTGTGAAAAAGCCACTCCATTTCTAAGAGAAATTGATGTGTCAAATGTCACCAAATGCACTGCCAAGGAGTCAGTTTTACTCTGCTGCAGTGGGACATGGAATTTTTTTGGTAGAGCTGTCAAACACACAAGGAATGTCAGATGTAACAAACGTTGAATACAAAAGTGCCATCTCTACACTCAAAAGAGCTGGGCCTGCAGAGCAGAAGCTTAGTCTGAGCTTAGAATACTTTTGCCTGTGTTTTCTATTTTTACCATCACATCTGGAGAAAGTTCTTTTCCACTGCAGGAATCCTCATTTCTATGGCCCAGCACACAGTGCCCAGCAGAGCTGCAGGGAAGGGCCCCCAGAGCTGCCTGAACGCCCCCTCCCCCAGGCCTTGGGGGCTCTTGCCCCCCACTCCCTGCCCAGGGCTCTGCTGCCTGGAGCTGTCCCTGCCAGCAGCTGCTTCCCTGGGCCCAGGGCTGAGAAAGTAACACTGATGTATCCATAAGACAGTTTTGATGTCTGATACTCTCAGGTTCCATCCCCTCTAATCTAAAAGAATTCAAGTTTCAGTGTCTCCTCCTGTGCTCAGAGATTGATTTCCCTGTCACAGTCAGCACCCAGACAACCCAGAGTATAACACTGAAAGAACTGGTTCATTCTCTTTAAGGTACCCCCTGTCTGTCTGTGCCTCTTGCAAATACCTTCTGGGAAATTTCCTGCTTTGATCTGCAGCTGTGACCAGCCCTCATCCCTGCAGCCCACTGTGGAGATCAGAAGGACTCTGCCCTGCTCTGCCCTCCCCGGAGTTGTTCCTTCCCCACAGCCCTTCTCCCCCAGCCCCATGGCAGCTCCTTGGCCGGGCTGAGAGCTGCCCCTGGCAGGCAGCAGAGTCCCTGCCCCAGCACACAGAGCCCTGGGGGCAGGACCCTGCTCTGCCCCACAGCCCTGGGCACCCCTGGCTGCACCCCCACCTTCCCACCCCACAGCCAGCCCTGGCACAGGGAACCTCCTGGCCCTGGGCCTCTGAGGGGGCAGCAGCAAGTCCTGCTCTGCAGCAGCTTCTCCTGCTGCACCCCAGCAAATCCAGCAGAGCCATCCTGACAGCTCCTGCCACTGCTGCCATTTGGCAGCTGGCAGAGGCACTTGCAGCAACTCCCCTGCACTGCTCTGCAGCCACAGCCTGACCGTGGCAAAGGGCTGGCAAGGTTCCTGCCCTGAGCAGCTCTGCCCTGTCCTCCCAGCCCAGGATCCCTTGAACCTCCTGCTCCCTTCTCCTCTCTGCCCTTGCTGCCTGCAGCTCCTGCCCTGCTCTGCCATATGGCCACTTCCCCTGCACTGCAGCAACTGGGAGAGTCCTGCTGAGAGATCCTGGAAGCTGTGGGATGTGCCAGCTTGAGGAGATCCCTCCAGGAAGGGAAGCTGAACTTTCCTACAGCCAGAGAATTCTTCCTTCAAATCCTGGGAAGGTTTCTCCTGTGGTGAGAGCTCAGTCACCTCCCAGCCCAGGCTGCCTCTCATCTCTCTGCCTTCTCTCCTGTGCCCTGGGTGCTGCAGGCAGCGCCCTCAGCCCTGCTGGGCTGTGCAGAGGAGCTGCTCCTGGGCAGAACTGTCTCTTTGAAGCTCTTCTTTGTTGCCAGGAGCTCCCTGTGTGCCAGGAGCCCGGCCCAGCTCAGCAGCACAGCAACAGCCCCAGGCAGCCCTTTCTCTGCCCCTCTGGGCTCCTCCAGCTGTCCCTGGGCCTCCAGGGGAACCTGCTGGCACACAGCTGAAGGAAATAATGATGTTCCTTCTCTCAGCTGGGCATAGACACTTCTTTCAGCACTGTCATTTCTCCAAACAGACACAGAGTTAAGTTCAAGAGGCCCCTTTTCATGTCCCATCATTAGACAGGAAACCCAGACAGTGCCCAGGAGGGATCTCCTTCACCTGCCCTGAGGGAAGGGACTCAGCTGAGTCAACAGAGGTGTCTCCTTGTGGCTCTGCAGACCTGGGGCCAGAACCTGGCCCTTGGTGTCTCCTTGTGGCTCTGCAGCCCTGGGTCCACAACCCCCATGGGCTGGTCCAATTCCAGCTCAGTGGGCCCAAAACAGGCCCCTGCAGGCTCCAATGGAGCAGTTCCTAGGGACAGGGCAGCAGCTGTGGGATCTTCTTGGAGGCTGCTGGGACATTGCTTTGGCCAACTTCAGTGGCAGAAGGTGCCCACATGTAGGACAGGGGAACCTGTCACTGTTCCTTCTGTCCAGGGCAGCCCCTAGAGGTGCTCAGGTGACCAAATGCAGTCAGGTGGCACAGGGAGAGAGGTCTCTCCCCTGTTCTTTATCAGGGTATTTTCTACATGTGCTCAGAGTACAATGGCAGTTGTCTCCTGGACATCCCTTCACTGCTGAACCTAATTGAGGGCAGCTGAGCCTGGACTGAACAGCCAAAGAGGGGCCTGTAGTGCCAGGGGAGGTGCCAGGGCTCTGCAGCACAAGTGCAGCAGCTGCCCTGGACAGCACAGGGCCTGTGCAGGAAGCCCGTCCCCATTCCCAGCAGTTGTGGGACAGGCACCACCCAGGGCTTCTCAGACACACTGGGGGCCTTTGGGGCAGGGAGTGAATCCCAGCCCTGCAGGGACACAAAGGCTGTCCCTTCTCTGCCCAGCCAAGGCCGGGCCAGGCACGAGTCCAAATCCCATCAGCCCAGGCTGTCCACACTTGTTCCCTCCCTCTGCTGGCTCTGCTCTCCCCCAGCATTTCAGCAGCATGTGCTGATCTCCTCAGGGATCAGGCCTGGGATTCTCCCCCTGGGCCTGAGTCCCAGCACGTCCACCCCCAAGGCCATTGTCAGCAAAGCCTCTGCCCAGCCCAGCTCTCGGGGCTTTCAGAGCAGCTTTCCCCACTGCAAGTCTGTTCTTACCCCGGTGCCCCCGCTGAGGGGCTGCAGCCAGACAGGCCCCAATGCCCTGCGTGTGGGGCACAGGAGGAGGAGCTGCAGCCCCAAGTCTCTCTTCATTCCACTTGCAGGCAATAACAGCCCAGGCCTGCTGAGACAGTTCCCAGGTTGCAGGGCTGTGATGGGCTGGGAGAGAAGGCCAAGGAGACCCAGGAGAGAAAGAGCAGGAGAGAGGTGTCCTCAGCGGGAAGGAGCTTCTTGGAGCTGTGGAGCTGCTCTGGGGGATGAAGGAATTGGGTGAACTTTTGTGGGTGAGGGTCAGAGGAGAGACTAGTTTGGGTGACACTGTGGAGTGAGACAAAGAGTCCATTCAAGTTGGCTTTGATAACCCTGGAATTCACTGGAAAGGCACCAGGACAGGATGCAAAGAGTCCCAGAGGTTTGTGCAGGGTCTTGTTCAAGACCCCCCTTGGCACACAGGCCTTTAGAGCACAGCTGGCAGGTTGTTGGACAACAGAGAGGCTCATCTGCATCTGCTTCTGTCCAAGAGGAACCAAGAGGTTCCCTTAGAAACTGACCATAGTGATGGGAATGTATGCTGGTTGCCATGGTAACTGACTATAGCAATAAGAATGTATGATGGTTGCCATGGTAACCGACCGTGGCAACAGGAATGTATGCTGGTTGCCATGATACCTGCCCATAGCAATGGAAATGTATGATGGTTGCCATGGTAACTGACTGTAACAATGGAAATGTATGATGGTTGCCATGGTAACCGAGCATAGCAATGAGAATCTATGATGGTTGCCATGGTAACAAACCATAACAATAGAAATGTGTGATGGTTGCCATGGTGACTGTAGCAACGGGAATGATTGATTCTTGCCGTGGTAACCGACCGTAGCAATGGGAATGTATGATGGTTGCCATGGTAACTGACCATGGCAATGAGAATGTATGATGGTTGCCATGGTAACCGACTGTACCAAAGGGAAATATGATGGTTGCCATGGTAACTGACCGTAGGAATTTGAATGTATGATGGCTGTCATAGTAACCAACCATCAAAGCGGGAATGTATGCTGGTTACAATGCCAGACGACCGTAGCAGTGGGAAGTATGATGGTTACCATGGTAACTGACTGTGAAACAGGAATGTATGCTGGTTGCCAGGGTAACCGACTGTAGCAATGGGAATTTATGCTGGTTTCAATGGCAACCGACCATAGCAGTAAGAATGTATGAAGGTTGCCATGGTAACTGACTGTAGCAACCTAAATGTGTGATGGTTGCCATGGTAACTGACTGTAGAACAAAAATGTATGCTCATTGCCATGGTAACTGACCATAGCAATGGGAGTGTATGATACCTGCCATGGTAACCAATCATAGCAACAGGAATCTATGATGGTTGCCAGAGTAACTGACCATACCAATGGGACTGTATGACGGTTGCCATGGCAACTGACCTTTGCAGTGGGAAATGTGTGATGCTTACCATGGTAACTGACCATAGCAATAAGACTGTATGATGATTGCCATGATAACTGAGTGTAGCAATGGGAATGTATGATGGTTGCCATGGTAACCAACCATAGCAATAAGAATGTATGATGGTTGCCATGGTAACTAACCCTAGCAACTGGAATGTGTGATGGTTGCCATGGTAACAGACCAAAGCAATGGAAATGTTT